ACAAAGATAGCAAAAGAAAGAAGAAGAAAACATGGAGATTGGTTTTGGGTGAAAAAAAAACTTATTGCAATATTGAAGAGGTAACGGAAAGAAATAAAAAAAAAAACGAATATGTTTTGTATCGGTCTATGAGCACCGTCTAAATAAACAAAATGGCAAAAAAAGTGTTGGTCGGGCTTTTAGATTAGAATCAGTACGATCCAAATAAACCACTACAAGTTGATGAGTTTGACTCGATGATTACATTGACGATGATATAGCAAAAAATTGTTGAAAGAAACAAAGCTGAACAATGGACTAAAATGCGGTACTGAATTAGTTAAATGTTAATATGACGGTTCAGATGCTGTCGGGTTGATGAATACAAACAATGGGGTAATTAAGATCATTTAGGACTAGAAATATCTGCGGGCCGAAATCTGTGGAAAACAGAAACCGAATAGGGTTATAGACACAAAAACACGTAACTACCTGTTGATGACCGTTCCTTCTATCATCAAAATTTTTGCAATTTTTTGATTCTTCCTTTTTTATTTTTATTTATGATATTTTCTGGGTCAACAATAGCCTAATTTTGCAGCAGCAGGAGCAGTAGCAGGAGCAGGAGCAGCAGTGCTTCAGCAAAAATAAAGGATCAATCAATAATGGAAAATCAACTGGAACCGTTATGCTTGATCAGTATCGTCGTTTTCAAAGGATATCATTCATGAACGACACCAATAGTTTCCTTTACAACTAATTTTTTTTTTTTTTTTCAGGATAATACGGTAGTTGGTGCTCTTAAATGTTTCCATTGTTTTAGAAGAAGAAAGAAAAAGCAACAAAAATATGTCATTCAGTAAAAAATACAAGAATTTAAATTAGGTTTCTATTGGAAACTAAGCAATAATATTACAATATACGGTACTGCATACGACTATTAGCCACTTTATTGTTAAATACAGCTTCAGATAAACGAACTGTACAAATTTGTGCTTCTAAAGTTTTTACACAAAAAAAAGAACTTTTGACTGTTTTTTATTATTTCAGCCTAATTGGTATTAGATTTGTTTAAACAAAGTTATAAACTGGCTCTACAAATTGAGCAAATATTTTGTCAATTGTTGAGGCTGCTTGAAATATCACAAATAAAAGTGCTTTAACACTTTAACTTTTGACCAGTTTTGAAGACAACGTTAAAGACATTTTGTTGTACACACAGATTTTGTACAAGATTTATTTAGATATATGAATTATTAAAAAGATAAATATCGACAAACTTCCAAGAAACCAAAATTTTTCTTTTCAGTTGAGATGAGATACCAAAAAAAAAAAAATGGTTTCTAAAAGAGATCATACAAATGAGGATTGATTAATGTAAAAAAAAAAAAAAA